CTGGGGTCCTCCAATCCCCCACCCTCCCCGCCCCCTGTACATGTGGAATGTTCTTCCTGTTGTGTGCATTATCTCCAAATACTCAAGTTTCTGAAAACATGAGGTTAGACGAACTGCTGTCTCTATACGGCCCACAATGTATGAGGGTGCTTCCTGGGCCATTCATGTGCGCATTTTTTAATGAAGTTAGTAAAGTTGCTTTTGTTTAGAGAACGATCACCCTATGTGACATGGCAGGTCTCAAAGTCACCTTCCAATAAAAGCATCTGCTAAACAGACAAATATCAACAACATCAAGGAGAACAGAAAACCCACACAATAATAATTACATCGATAACCATAAAAGTAGTGAACAAAAATATAATGTCTGTAGTCATGGAAACATGGAATGTTTGATGGCAACCCCGCCTTTCACACAGGAGGTATGTGGGGGCGGCCAGGAGTGGCTTTCTGGACCTGTTGTAGATTTGAAACAGATTTCTTAGGTAGACTAGATAGGAGCACATTACTGTACAGCCGTGGCCAAATGTTTTGAGAATGACGCAAATATTAATTTTCACAAAGTCTGTTCCCTCAGTTTTTATGATGGCAGTTTGCATATACTCCAGAATGTTATGAAGAGTGATGAATTGCAATTAATTGCAAAGTCCCTCTTTGCCATGAAAATTAACTTAATCCCCAAAAACCATTTTTTAAATGCATTTCCACTACATTTCAGCCCTGCCACGAAAAGACCTGCTGACGACATTTCAGTGATTCTCTCATTAACACAGGTGAGAGTGTTGACAAGGACAAGGGTGGAGATCACTGTGTCATGCTGACTGAGTTAGAATAACAGACTGGATGTTTTAACCTTTTAAAGGAGGGTGGTGCTTGAAATCATTGTTCTTCCTCTGTTAACCATGGTTACCTGCAAGGAAACACATGCAGTCATCATTGCTTTGCACAAAAAGCGCGTCACAGGCAAGGATATTGCTGCTAGTAAGATGGCACATAAATCAACCATTGATCGGATCATCAAGAGCTTGAAGGACAGAAGTTCAATTGTTGTGAAGAAGGCTTCAGGGCGTCCAAGAGAGTCCAGCGTGCACCAGGACCGTCTCCTAAAGTTGATTCAGCTGCGGTATTAGAGTATCACCAGTGCAGAGTTTGCTCAGGAATGGCAGCAGGAGGGTGTGAGTGCAGACTTCTGGAGGGTGGCCTGGTGTCAAGAAGAGCAGCAAAGAAGCCACTTCTCTCCAAGAAAAACAGCAGGGACAGACTAATATTCTGCAAAAGGTACAGGGATTGGACTACTGGGGACTGGGGTAAAGCCATTTTCTCTGATGAATCCCCTTTCTGATTTGTTTGAAGCATCTGGAAAAAAAGATTGTCTGGAGAAGAAAAGATGAGCGCTACCATCAGTCCTGTGTCATGCCAACAGTAAAACATCGTGAGACCATTCATGTGTGGGGATGCTTCTCAGCCAAGGGAGTGGAATCACTCACAATTTTGCCTAAGAGCACAGCCATGAATAAAGAATGGTACCAAAACATCCTCCGAGAGCAACTTCTCCCAACCATCCAAGAACAGTTTGGTGATGAGCAATACCTTTTCCAGCATGATGGAGCACCGTGCCATAAGGCAGAAGTGATAACCAAGTGGCTCAGGGAACAAAACATCGACATTTTGGGTCCATGGCCAGGAAACTCCCCAGACCCTAATCCCATTGAGAACTTGCGGTCAATCCTAAAGAGGCAGGTGGACAAACAAAAACCCACAATTCTGACAAACCCTAAGTATTAATTATGCAAGAATGGGCTGCCATCAGTCAGGATTTGGCCCAAAAGTTTATTGACAGCATGCCAGGGAAAATTGCAGAGGTCATGAAAAAGAAGGGCCAATAGTGCAAATACTGACTCTTTCCCTAAACTTAATGTAATTCTCAATAAAATCCTTTGACACTTATTAAATGCTTGTACTTCAGTATACCATAGAAACATCTGACAAAATGATGTACAAACACTGAAGCAGCAAACTTTGTGAAAACTAATACTTGTGTCATTCTCAAACCTTTTGGCCAGGACTGTAATATATTCTCCTTGAGCATGTATCAGTTTTGTCACATTCAACACATTATCAGGGTAGAGGCTTACAGAGAACAGAAGACCCAAATGCGGGAGACAGGAGGGTTTATTGTGAATCACAGGCAACCCAAAGTGGAATTGGCAAGCGGGGTCATGGGTTCAGAGAAGTGGAAAGCAAGGAGGGTAAGTTCTATGAGAGTACATTGGACGAGGGTCGATAACACGGGACAGGACAGAGGGGCACGTGGCAGTTGAAGAGGAAGGCACAGGCAGGGCAGGATCAGGCAGGACAGGAGCAGGCAGGGAGGGTAAGGAACACGAGAAACGACAAACAGGATTAGAATGTTCAGTATGGCTCATAGAGCGCAACAATACTTCGTACTGAGTACAAAGACGAATAGGGATGAAATTGCTGATTGCAGCATAATTGGTGTGCTCCACCCCGGGGGGTGTGACACGTATGACAACATACCCCAGACTTTGGCAGCATGCTGTCCAATAAATGATGTTTACTGTAGCTGTTAATAACGGCAATGTCCTGATCACAATATGGTAGCAGCCCCATAAATCAGTATTTGACAGTATGCTGTTTTGCAGACATTGCTGTTGAAGCTAAGGTCACCAATGAAAAGGACACGTAGGTTTCTATCTTGTTGTTTGGCTTTCAGATACATTGATTCTAAGTACACCAGTGTATCCTTCCTCTATACTCCATTCTCACTAACATGCATCTCTGTTTTTTCCTTTTTCAGTTGGAGTTTTGTGATATCCATGAGTTTTTGTAATCTGTGCATTCAAGCAGGTAGTGGATAGACCCATGAGCATCAGAAGGTAGAGACAGATAGCTGTGTGTCATCTGCATACTGATGAAAGCTGATTGTATGTTTATTTCTTATACTCAATAGCAGTAGCATGTAAAGGTTAAATAATATAGGACCAAAAATCAAGCATTGTAATAGCTTGATTGAGCCCTGTAATAGCTTGATGGTTTTTGATATAGGTATCAACTGCAGCACAATATTCACGCCCACTTAGATAGGATCTGAATCAGTCTAAGGCCATACCAGAGAGGCCAACACAGGTATGCAACCGTTACAACAGAATATCATGGTCTACTGTGTGAAAGGCAGCACTGAGATCTAGAAGAACAAGAATGGAGAGTCTGTTTAGCCATAAATCACTTATGGCTTTAAGAAGAGCTGGTTTCAGTACTACGGGATACAGCACTACTGCCCAAAAGCCAGACATGAAGCCAAACACTACATGGAGATTATTACTGTTAAGATAATCACTTGACTGGATCGACACAACTTTCTCAATTATTCAACCAACAAACGAAAGGTTAGAAATTAGCATATAATTACGCACTGTACCATCAAGATTACTTTTATTCAACAAAGGTATATTTTATTGCGGAACCCAAATTGCCAATTATGACTGACTGTATAACCAGCCTTAGCTGAAAGTTAAGTCACAGCCACAGTTAACATGATTCCATGTTCAACATCTACTTGTGAATTTAGGTTTCATCCGTGTCAGTAAATGCATTCATTAATTTGATTGTGTGTACTGAACAAAAACTGATGATGAATACGTGTACTGTTACACCCCTAACATTTAGCCTAAAAATTTGATTCATTATTAGGGTTATCATTATCTAGGTATGTATCCTTTTTGGGCGGGGCCCCCTGGACGGCGGAGCCTGTTGCGGCCACACCGGTTACACCGCCTAAATGACGACTGTATAAAGAACATAACTTGCATTGCACAGCCGGAAGCTAAACAGGATCTTTATTCATAACTGTATGTATTAAATTGCCATATAAAGTTTGTTTGACCAAACAGATCAGAGCTTTTTCCTCTTATCCACTAATGGCAAAATACAACCTGCCCCCCCGCAATGAAAAAATACAACCTGCCCCCCCTCCTCCGCCCATCTCCAGAGTGACCCTGTACTGGATGAGACATTATAGAAGATATACTGATGAATCTGTAGTAATATGTAGCAATAAGCAGTATGAACTCTGTACAATCCCTGTTCATCTTAGTCACCCAAAATTATGAGATCCACCCATCCATCTTCCTTAACCGCTGACCCAGTACAGGGTCATACTGATTTATAATGTATTTCTGCTACGGTGTGTCTTTCTTTTTCATAGAGAAGTTGTTGAGGTTACAAGGATAAGATCTATACAGTACCAGAGGCTTATGTGCAAATTTTAATGAGGTTAGTGACTTTGCTTTTGTTTAAAGAAACATCACCCTTCCGATAAAAGTATCTGCTAAACAGACAGATAGCAACAAGAAGAACAGAAAGCCCACACAATAATAATCATATAGATAACCGTACCAATAGTAAATGAGGAGGCGATGTGTTGCCCAGTTGGCTCTGTGCCTATGATCAGTAGACTGCCGGTTTGAGCCCCAGCCTCAGCAGAACAGTTGCATGTCTGTGGGCCCTTGAGCAAGGCCCTTCCCCCCAGCTCCAGACGACCCTGCAGTTTGACCCCCAAGCTCTAGAGAGCAAGATGGGGTTGGTGAAGAGCAAGGTTATTATCGTCAACGAAAACGAACGAAATAACGAAAACTAGAATTGAAAAAACATTTTCATTAACTGAAATAAATAAAAACGACAATTAAAAGAAAAAACGATAACTAAGTATAACTGTATTGTGCGTTGACAAAACTAACTAAAACTAGCAAACCTGCTCTAAAAACTAATTAAAACTAACTAAATTAGAGGGAAAAAAGGTCAAAACTAAATAAAAGTAACAATCCAAAACTATTATAACCTTGGTGAAGAGAAGCATGCAAAAAAGCATGTCTGCTGTTAGAAAACAAAATAATGCCTGTAGCTATGGAAACACAGAATGTTGCATGGCAACACCTCCTCTCACACAGGAGTAATGTGGGCGTGGCCAGGAGTGGCACCACGCTCATAAATGCCAGGCAGCCTCCATCCCTGAGAAATCTGCAGGGATCGCTGTAGACACACTCTGCTAGCAGGCTGTAAGTACACCGTCTCTGCTGTTTCACTGTGTTTCTCAATGTGCTGCTGACTTCAAAGGAGAAACTGCCTTTTTTAACAGTCATTTCTAATGCAGTCTGATTTGCATCACTGTGCACCTGGCTTGGCTGATATGTCTAACTCAATGTATGCTGAGTACAGTGTAGTGTTTAAAGATTGCTTTTCTGTGAAACGACTTCCTAGTCTTTGACAAATTTGTTTCACAAAATATAAATTCAAAATTCAGATTTACTGCATTTTGCTGTCTACAGATTGCACTGGTTTCCATAGTCAGCTGAAGCACAAAATAATGTCTTTAAAAGCAGTGAACAGGCCAAACTGGTTTCATCATGCTTGTGTTCCGTATCAAACTCAACGGGCAGCACTCATAAGGTACACTTTATGGTGGGACGTGTTTGAGTCGGACTGACAGTGTTCAAACAGGAACTCCAGCTCTTCCCATCACACATGCAATACTTTAAGCTGGTAACTGTTCGTTACTGTTAAACTGACTGTTAAACAATTTCTGATTGATTATCAAGATTAGGAGAGACATACAAATGATTATAATGGAGGAAACAGGTAAGAAGGAAAAGGGAGTGGCTAGGGTTAGCAGTGTCTAGCATCTGTCACTCACTGCTACGATCCTATTGTGTGCTGTCAGAGAATCCCATCATGTTTGTGAGGTAATGACTGCTCTCTCTCTCTCCCCCTTTTCAGCTTTCACATCTGAACATGTCCAATCAAAAACAAGGTAATTCTTAACTGCTGTCAATCTTTGTAGTGTTTTCACTGTCTTCGAAGTCAAGTTTAGAAATCAGGGCTGTTTCACCTCTTTGCCACTGACCCTGTTTTGCAATGCTGCAGGTATCCCACCAGGTGGTGCTCCCTGTGGCCCTCCTGGCACATGCCCAACTGGTAGTGGCCCCAGTGTCCCTCCTCCTAAAGGGAAACCTGTCAGTCCCAGCCATGGTCAGGATCACTGCCACGGTCCTGCGCATGATCATGGCCAGGAACATGGTCACGGTCACGGTCATGATCATGGCCAGGAACACGGTCACGGTCATGGTCACGGTCACGGTCATGGTCATGGTCATGGTCACGGTCATGGTCATGGTCATGGTCATGGTCCATCTCACGCCTCTAAGAAATAGCGCAAGGTAAATTAGGAATTCAACAGTATATGAATTAAAATGCACCAGCTGTACCCCTGGCAGTGTGTGATGTGTTATGTGATGTGTTTTTCTGTAGCATTCCAGAAGCTCCTGCAGCAACTCAGACTAGACCGTAAGAAGACCTCAAGAGGACAGATGGGGCTGCTTAACTCAGGGACCATCCACAGAAAATATTCTGCTTTTAATACTTCTAACACTTTCTCTTTGATTTATTACAAAGCCTCTCAATAAACCTAGAAGTAAATTTAACTGTTCCGTCGTTTGTCTTTTACAGGCAACTGTGTTATTGCAGTGGTTGTCAAACTGGTATCAGGCTGATCCACTGAACCTCTTACTTATAGTGATTTATGGGGCTGCTACCATATTGTGATCAGAACATTGCAGTTATTAACAGCTAAACATCATTTAATGGATATCAGGGTTTCTGTTGTGAAGATAAAAATGAAAGAAAAAAAAACTTGTCATCCCAACTTTATCTGCTTAATGTGTCTTCCTCAAACAACAGCTTTATTAGATATTTATTTTTGCTGTGACAGAATAATGAGTATTTGAAAGAAACATAAAACTGAAACCACACACATTTAATTAGTGAAAGTATAAAGTTAAACATTGTCTCAGAGACACCATGGACCCCAATGTTTGATGACAGCTAAAACTACAGTTCATCCGAAAAGTATTAACAGCGCTTCACTTTTTCCCCACATTTTGTTATATCACAACCTTATTCCAAATTGGATTAAATTCATTTTTTACCAAAAAATTCTACACATAATACCTCATAAAATCTTCCTTAGCATGCAAAATTGTTACGTCCACTGTCTGGCAAGCAGGCAGGAATCGGGAAATAATAAGGCAGGCAGGCGAGGATACAAGAAACAGGTTTATTCTAAGCAGACAGGAGAACAACATCAATGACAGACCTGGGGAAACAGACTTGGACACGGACTTAAGTACACAAGACAAGCCGAAATAACAGGAAACAGGTCCGGGTAGCACGCGTAGGTAATGAGGGGGCGTGGCACACACGAGGATCGTACAAGCCGGGTCTGGCAGAAATACACATCAACAGGTTGGGGTAACAACGAAATGGCAACTGAGAGTTTTGAGAACCACACTTCCTTTTTGCGCAGTGCGTGCAACGCTTTGAGCGCAAACCCCATGGCAAACGCAGCATATGCCGCGCTCCGTCTGAAAACCAAACTTAATTTACAGAAACGTTGCATGCAACAGGTGTTCCAGGAAATTCCTTCCCCCCACGTTATCCTTTTTCGAAAATATAGTTGTGTGTAAACATTAGGAGGTTGCGGGTTGCAGGTTTTTGGGCTGCTTTTTGGTGTTTGTTCCCTGGCAGACAGTAACTCTAGACCTCAATAGTGATAATACCAGTTTATACACAGGTAATTATGTATCTGAATGACTTTCAGCTATCTCAAAAGTTTCTTTGCCCAAATATGTGGAGGAAACATTATCAGGATATTTGACTTCCCCTGCTAAAACAGACATGCACCAACTCTGGACCCCAGTACTGATTAAGCTACAGTGTAATTTGTCTGTCATATACGGGCAAAACACAGGAAGCAGGAGCAGGCATCAGGACAAACAAAATGGTTTTATTAAACTTAGAGGAAAAGTAACAAGAAATGAACACAATCTCGGGGATCAAAAATCTAGGGGAAAGAGGGAGGCAGGGCACAATGTTAATGACACTCAAATACATAGTGAGCAGACAAAAGGTAGCTACTGGTTAACACGAGTGCAGGAACAAGAGCTGAGACAAACAAGTATCAGGCTTGGTTTGTTACCTCCCCAGGGAGCCGTCCAGGAGGCATGCTAGACGATTGCCCAAACCACCCTAACTGGCTCCTTTCGATGCAGAGAAGCAGCGCCCCTCTACCGAATCCTTGAGCTCCTCACCCTTCTAAGGCTGTGCCCAGACACCCTACAGAGGAAATTCATTTTTGCTGCTTGTATCTGCAATCTCATTCTTTTGGTCAATACCCAGAGCTCATGACCATAGATGAGGATAGGAACGTAGCTTGAATGGAAAATCGAAAGCTTCATGTTTCAGCTCAGCTCCCTCTCCGCCACAACAGAAAGGTGCCTATCAATCTCCCGCTCCCTTCTTCCCTTAATCATGAACAAGCCCCCATGACACTTATACTTGTCCACTTGGGGCAACATCCCCCACCAGGAGAGGGCAATCTACCCTTTTCTGGTCGAGAACCATGGCCTCAGATTTGGAGGTGCTGATCCACAACCCGGCCACTCCACACTCAGCTGCAAATCGCCCCAGTGCATGCTGCAGGTTGCCGGCCGACAACACCAACAGGACCATGTCATCCGTAAATAGCAAAGACACGATCCTGAGGCCCCTGACCTGGACCCCCTTCCTCCCTTGGCTACGCCTAGAAATTCTGTCCATAAAAATTATGAGCAGAATCAGTGACAAAGGGCAGCCCAGACACAATCCAACACCCACTAGGAACAAGTCTGACTTACTGCTACCCATGCAAACCAAGCTCCCGCTCCATTTGTACAGGGACCTGATAGCCTGCAACAACGAACCCCATACCCCATACTCCTGAAGCACTCCCCACAGGACCCCCTGAGGGACATGATCATATATCTTTTCCTAGTCCATAAAGCACATGTAGAGTGGTTGGGCAAACTCCCATGAACCCTCCAGTATCCTCGTGAGGGTGAAGAGCTGGTCCAGTGTGCCGCAACCGGGACAGAATCCGCATTGTTTGTCCTGGATCAACGGATGGATCCTCCTCTCCAGTACCCCAGCATAGACCTTAACATGGAGACTGAGGAGTGTGATCCCCCTGTAGTTGGGACACATCCTCCAGTCCCCTTTCTTAAAAATTAGGACCACCACCCCAGTCATCCGATCCAAAGGCACTGTCCCCAATGGGACAGTTGAAGAGGTGTGTCAGCCAGGACAGGCCAACAACATCAAGAGCTTTCAAGAACTCAGGGCGAATCTCATCCATCCCCGGAGCCTTAACACCAAAGAGTTTTTTTGACTACTTCAATGACCTCAGCCCTAGAGATGGGCAAGTTCCCCTCTGAGTCTTCCAACTCTGCTTCCTCCAAGGAAGGTGCATCAGTGGGATTCAGGAGATCCACAAAATATTCCTTCCACCGTCTGACTATATCCCCAGTTGAGGTCAACAGTTCTCCATCCCCGCTGAAAAGGGTAAAGCCCTGACCCCCCATGAGTCACCTGGTGGTTTGCCAGACCAAAACCTTTTCAAGGCCATTAGAAAGTCCTTCTCCATAGCTGCACCAAAATCCTCCCACACGTGAAGTTTTACTTCGGCAACCACCAAAGCCGGTTTCCGCTTAGCCTGCTGATATCTGTCAGCTGCTTCAGGAGCCCCACAAACACGGGAGGACTCCTTCTTCAGCCTGACAGCTCCCTTTACTGCTAGTGTCCACCAATAAGTTCAGGGATTGGCGCCATGACAGACACCAACAACCTTACAGCCACAGCTCCACACTGCCACCTCAGCATTGGAGTCCCAGAACATAGCCCATTCAGGCTCCATGTCCCCTGACTCCCTTTGGAGTGAGAAGAAGTTCTGCCAGAGGTGTGAATTAAAGATCTCCTAGACAGGGGCCTCTGCCAGCATACCCACACTATATGTTTGTGTCTACCCAGTCTATCTGGCATCTTCCCCTGCCATCGGATCCAACTCACCACCAGGTGGTGATCAGTTGACAGCTTAGCTCCTCTCTTCACCCGAGTGCCCAAAACATACGGATGCAGATCTCATGACACAATTACAAAATCAATCATCAAACTGCAGCCTAGGGTGCTCAGGTACCAAGCGCACTTATGAACACCCTTATGTTCGAACATGGTGATCGTTATGGACAAACTGTGGTTAGCACAGAATTCCAATAACTGATCGCTGCTTGGATTCTGATAGGGCAGGCCATTCCTCACCAAATCGCACCCTTCCAGGTTTTACCCACATGAGCATTAAAATCCCCCAGCAGAACAGTGGAGTCCCACAGAAGGGAGCCAGATGCTTTACGCCCTTAAAGATCACATGTTTCCTGTGGAGGTGATGTATTTCCAGTGGAGCTCCACTCTACAGGCATCTGCAGCTAGACCCTCTTGTTTGAGCAGGAGCAGGTGAGGGCAATCCAATCAATAATCAATTACGGTGCAAGACAACAGAAAACCAAACACTCAAACCTAAGGCTGGCCTCAAACACACCACTGCTTTAGACAGTCTTAGTCTTGTTAATGCATCCTGGGTTTTCACTCTGTTCTTGGCAGGTGGAAATGGGCCCAAAGGATAAGGCCAAAACTGCCTTTATTACTTGACAGGGTGTCAGGGTTGGTGCTTGTCTGTCCCTGTCCTCTGTGTCTGTGTGCAGGAGTTGCTGGCCATCCTGTTGTACTGCGAAAATGTAACCTGCAGAAAACACAGATACACCAGCCATGGGTGAAGACAGTTAGGTGTGAGGTGGGGAAATGTGCAGCAGATAGGGCTTTGTCTTGTCGTTAGGGCTGGCCACAGAGAGTATTGATACTTCATGCTGTGGCTTGTGGTCGGTGGGGGTTAACAGAACGGATTCTCTCCCATCTCTGGTGGAGGACAGGGAGGCCGGTATTGCCTCCCTCCAGGGAAGTAACAGTCCATTTAAAAGTCCGACTTGTGTATGAATGTGTGTGTGAATCTGAATTGATGAGTTTTTAACTGAGGGCAGTGGCAGTGTGTGTAGAGGGTGTGGAAGGAGTTACAGGGGATAACAACACAGAGC